CAATGCCGAAACCGTTAAATCTTGACAACGTTGCCGCTAACTGGAAAAAATTTAAAAGAGCCTGGGATAATTACGCCGTAGTTGTGAGGCTCCAGCAGTGCAACGAAGAATATAAGACTGCAACTTTTCTTTCTGTGATCGGTGAAGAAGCTCTTCAAATTTATGAAGGTATGACATTTAACCCACCCGAAAGTTCGAAAGTATTCGACTCTGTTGTTCAAAAATTTGAGGAATATTGCATCAGACAAACCAATGAGACCTTCGAGCGGTATTTATTTAACTCCAGATCACAGAAAGAGGATGAAAGTATTGATCACTATGTATTGGCACTTAGAACACTTGCGAAGTCGTGTAATTTTTGTCAGTGTTTACATGATTCACTTATATGTGATAGAATAGTGTTTGGCGTTAAAAAGAGCCTGCCTTGAGAAAGAAGCTGTTGCAAGAAAGACAACTCACTCTAGAAAAAGCAATCCACATCTGCAAAAGCAGAGAAACAACTGCACAGCATTTAAAGGATCTCGCCACAGCTACGGATCTGAATGAAATACACGCTTTGAAACATTGCAACAACAAAAAACAAGATTACCGGAAGACCCAAGAGATTCAAAGGGTGCCAACAAATGCAAGTACTGTGGAGGAAATCATGTGCTCAAGAGGGAAAAATGTCCGGCCGATGGAAAGACTCGTGGAAAGTGTGGAAAAAGTAATCACTTCGCTAGAGTGTGTAAGCAGTGTGGACGAAGGAAAAAACCAGTCAACACAGTCTCAGTCTCTTCCAGTGACTCTGGTGAATCACTGTTTACAATTCAATTAACTCCAGAAGTCGACTCAGTGCACGTGATACAGAGCAACATCCCATCAAAGATTACTGCGGCTATGAAATTAAAGGGAGGACCCAAAATTAATTTCCAAATCGACACCGGAGCAATGTGTGATGTACTCAAGCTAAGCTCCATCAAAAGAATGAAGTATGCTAATAGGATCATGCCCACAATTCACGTCCTAAAAATGTACGCCTCTACGCTCAGGCCGCTTGGAAAGTGCAAGGTACAACTCACGAATTCCAGGGATAAAAGGAAGTACAAAGTTAACTTTACCATTGTAGAGGATGAACACTGTGTCAATCTGATCGGGAGTAAAACTGCCCAGCAACTGCAGTTAATTACAATCAGAAATGATAAGATCAAGCCATTTTCCGAACCTGCAGAGTGCGCTTCTACAGCAAATGTAGATGTGAACCTGACAAGTAGCCGACAGTTTGAAGGACTTACCCTGGAACACATGTGCTCCCAGTACAAAGATGCTTTTGATGGCCTTGGCAATCTGGGAACTTCATTGCGACTTGAAGTTGATGAAACGGTTAAACCTGTCCAACAACCGTTAAGAAGAGTGCCTGAAGCTTTAAGAACCCCACTTAAAGAATATCTTGACAATCTGGAAGCTAGAGGTGTTATCGAGAAAGTTGAGAGGCTGACTAAATGGGTAAATTCCATGATGACTGCAAGGAAGGCTAACGGTAACCTTCGCCTTTGCCTGTACCCTAAGCCCTTGAACAAAGCGTTAAAGAGATGTCATTTCCCTATG